GTGTGTGTGTGTGTGTGAGTTATCTACAGATATATCCATGCATAGGTGTGTGTGTGTGAGTTATCTTCAGATATATCCATGCATAGGTGTGTGTGAGTTATCTACAGATATAGCCATGCATAGGTGTGTGTGTGAGTTATCTACAGCTATGTCTATACTTATGTATAGACATACATATACTAATGTAGTCTGTATTTATGTATAGACTACAGCTATGTCTGACTTACGTACAGCTCTATCCATACATAGGGCATATATGATTTGTCTACAGACATATCCATACATGGATGCATGTATGACTTATCTTTGATCTTTGCAGAGTAGGTTGAAGCCCTCCACTTACCTTCCTCTCACCTGCATTGGATGTTCTCAGGAAGCAAGGATTTCTCTTGTGTATAACCATGGAATAGTGGATCTCAAAAGCAGTTGCTCCCAGGAACTGGAGCACAGCATATTTTTCTCTCTGGGTTTTAGTTTTATTTTTTGGCTGTAAGATATTAACATACTTTTTAAATTCTGAACCAATGAATATATACCCAGATCTTCTGGACCCCTTTCTGCCGACCTAGTGTCATTTACTAGCTCCATTTAAATTTTCCTTTTCTATATTTTTTTGCCAAAATAATTAGAATTATTTTATCATTTTCTCTTTGGTACACAAAAGATTTTTGCTATAATAGAGGCCTTTTTTAAATCTGAGTATTATGCCCTGCAAATTGCTTAATATCTTATACAGATCTTCCTCACTTTTGTAGCTTTGGATATACACTTGAATTTAAATACCAGTGGTTTTTATTATCGTGGGTTTGTGCATTATGATAGTTCTGGTTCTTATAAATGCTAGTGTTGTGTTAGTGTATTCACAATTTTTGAAGTTATTTTTTTTTTCGGGTTTTCGAGACAGTTTCTCTGTGTAGCTTTGCACCTTTCCTGAAACTCACTTTGGAGATCAGGCTGGCCTCGAACTCACAGAGATCCGCCTGCCTCTGCCTCCCGAGTGCTGGGATTAAAGGCATGTGCCACCACTGCCGGGCTTGAAGTTTTTTCTTTAGAGAAAGTTCTGAGAAGTTCAATCCCTTAATGAAAGAGTAAATGCAGATGTTTTGCTCGGTATTGCTGAATTCCCGTTACAGAGGCCGCAGCAGCTGTGTGAGGCTGTGTGTGCCCCACACCTCCCAGTCTCTGATGATGCTCTTAGTTCTCAACCAGCAGTGCCGAACGGCTTCTCGGTACAACCATGTCTTGCATTTCTCATGAGTGAGCATGCTGAATGTGTCTGGGGCCATTTCTGTTTCTCTTGGGAGATTGCTCAGTCACGTATTTTGTCCATTTGGGGGAGATCTTAGTTCTCATTGGATAGAAAAATATATTGATATTGTTGATAATCTTATGATTTTCCATTTTTATTTATGTTTGAAATGGCAGTAGTCCGAGGGCTTTTGGTGTTGGTTTTTTTAATTTTCCCTCACAGAGTTTCCAGTTACGTAGGTAGATCTTTTAATTGCCTTTGGTGAGTCTTTATGGAAGCCATCGCCTCATTTGAGTCTGTAACAAAGGGCGAAAGTGCCATCAGTCTTGGCTTTGTCTGTTCAGGACTGAACCCTGGCACTG